CTCCTTTCTTCTCTCGCCTTCCTCTCCTCTCGCCTTACCCTCCCCCCTTCTTTTCCCGGCGCTGGGGTGTTGGTTTTTGTTGTCTGCCCTCGGGGTTCCGTTCCCCAGCCCGCGCTCATGGGTGTACATGACCATGCTCCTGTTTTGTAGAGCGACCCGACGGCCATGGAGGCCGAGGAGACGATGGAATGCCTTCAGGAGTTCCCCGAACACCACAAAATGATCCTGGACCGATTGAATGAGCAGCGGGAGCAGGACCGGTTTACTGACATNTCCCTCTTTCCACAGGCCCGCGGTTTTAACTTGTTGAAGTTTTCCCGCGGCGCGCTGGAGCGCAGGATTGCGGGGTGGGGACGGGAGGATGTCTCCACAGGTTTGGTTAACAGCCTGCTGCGGATAAGCCGCCTTGGGGCCTGTCTCCCTGGAGTCACGTGGGAAGGTGGATTCCCACCCACCCCCTCCCGGGTTCTCAAACGGTCTTGGAGGGGGGCTGAGACTCCTTTGCTGCACTGGTACCCTCTTTGGGAACCTCCACAGTAAAATGCGGCCTTTATCAGTCCTGGGTGTTGTCATTGTAAGGGAGGCAAACCCAGCTTGGGTGTCTTTTTCAATTGAGTGAAAATAGGGTTCTTCCAAATACTAGGCACGTTAAAGTGTTTCCTATAGCGGACACGTGCGGCTTCCTGCTCCTCCTGCGGCTGTTTCTCCTCCCTTCCCAGATGATCTGTAACCTTCTGGGTGGTGTTTGTATCTAGTAGTTTCAACTGAATAGCATATGCCTTTCACTCTTTAAGTGGTAGGAGGTTCCTCCCTCCAGAAGTGTTGTAAACTGGCCTTTATAAAGTCCACAAATAAGGGCTTTGAGGTTAAGATCTGGCTTGGTGTCTAATTGTTATTAAAATTTGTCAAGATAGCTGCCAAGAATAGTCTTACGTTAGTTCAGTAATGTATGTAGTTTTATAATTATGTTACCAAGAGAGGTTTATATTATATAATTTTCTAACTTTTTTTATGTTCGATACTTGTGAACATGTGTGATTTTGTTTTCTTTTTACCTAGGTCACCATTTTAAGGCCCACAAGGCTGTTTTGGCTGCTTGTAGTAAGTTCTTCTACAAATTCTTTCAGGAGTTTACTCAGGAACCTTTGGTGGAAATAGAAGGTAAATGCTTGTTTCACATAAAACTGCTTAGCCAACATCATAATTGGTGACATTTTAGACAGTTCATTTAGCAAGATACCATGGTACACAGGCATTGGTGGTTCCTGTTAGGAGACTGGATAGATTGATCTTTGACACCCGAGAATTCTTACTTTCAGTAGAGTGCTTGGTACAGTGACCTGCCAGGAAAAACTCCTATGTTAGAGGGTAGGTGTTGGTCTCTTAAATGAGTCTTTTCCACTGCTAAAACTGGTGGTCACTAGCTGTCTTTTGAAAACATGCATTGCAAGTAAATTCCCATCTTTGTTCAGTGGGATTATGTTTCAGACTGTGGGGACACTGAAGGGTACTGTAGAAGCCTCTACCAGCAGAGGTGCAGGTGACATGCTCAGTATGAAGTGGAAAGGATTAGAAACGGTGAACCATGGTAGCATTCAGAAGTTCTGGTGGCTGTAGAAAGCTGGGGACAGGAAGGGGTATTCACTAGATATTGTCTTATAGTAAGTAGTTAAGTGATTTTTTTTGGTACTTGCGTGACTTTTCTGTAATAATGGCCCACCAACTGCTAGGTGTGCTCTGTAGTTTATGTGCATTTCTTGAGATTCACAGCAGCGATCCTTTTGAAGTACATCAAGGAACAGGCTCCAAAAGGTTATTTGCCCAAGGTTGCCCAGCTAGCAAGGGAGTCACAATTCAGAACTAGAAACTAAATCAGCTTGCCTACATAAATATTGAATTTTAGCATCTTTCAAGGCTCTTGAGTTTTGGTTCTATAGCTCTTTCATGGCATATATTCTCTTTGTTATGAATGGGTTGCCTAGAAACACTATTCCCTTGGAAAACTTTGTTCCTAGGGGAGTAAAAAGATGTGAAGAGTTAAGAATACCCTTTTATTTTGGTACATTCCAGTTTATCTAGCATTCTAGCTGCTACATCCATGGGTAGATTATTTTCTTATTAGCTGTGATGGACAGAGCACAGGCATAATGGAAATCCACAAAGCTTACTAAAGTGGGAGTCTAGCTGCCTAGGTGGTATTGGTTTCTCTTACAAGGTAAGATTTTATGCTGTTACTCACCTGAGACCGCAGGCAGGTTGCTTTACCTCAATTGCATATCAGTCTCCTCATCTGAAAAGTGGGTTAATAGGCTTGATTAATTGAAATAACATGCAGAGTGTCTGGCATAGTGTTGAGTGCATTGTGAAAGCTTAATAAATCAGGGCTGCTTGTCAGTTAAATATCTGTTATATATGTACTATGCTGAACCCCAGAAATGAGGACGACGAATAAGACAATCCTTTAAAAATTTACAGATTGAATCACGGATGGGCAACAGGTAAAGAAAGCGCAGAAAGTGTTGCAGGACTTTTATTGTGGAATGGTGTCACTGAGGAGGGAGAGCGGGTGGTTTAGTCTACCTTGGAGAGATGGGAAAGAAAGTAAAAAAATCAATGGCCAGACTAGATTATGGATTGTGTGGTGCAGCAAGGAGTACTGAACTACCTGGAGAAGTAGGGTCTTCTCTTCTGCAGACCAGTCACCTTGGGGTGTCTCTTGTACCTTTCGGCACCTCTGACCGGCTCTGTCCATTTTAGTACAGCACACACAAGCCTTCAGTGTTTAGACTGTAGACTGATAAGAAAGTTAAATGTAAGAATGCTTTCTGTTTTTGTTATTTGCCAGATTCAGGTTGAAAGACTCAGTGTGGCTCAGTGTCTTCTGAAGCCATTCACTTTGGGATTGCTGTCCCATCTCCTAGCGCACCTGGCTGTAGGCAATGCCTTGGGGGTGTGGTTAGGAAACCTGAGTGTAGTCTTGGCTTTACTCTTCATCAGTTGTGTAACTTGGGCATCTTGGCTTTTTCTTTGTTTAATCTGAAAATATGTTAAGTGGTTTTTAGACCATGTCAGGATATTTTGAATATTACATCATCATGCTCTGGGCGCTATTCAAGTCCTCTGGAGAATGCTCTTGTGGTTTTGACTTTGGTTTATTTTAGGAGGCAGTCAACCTGGTTATGGTCAGACTGCCTTATGTGGGCCGTGGATCCAATTCCGTTTTCAAAACCTTTATGTGCTTGTCCAGTCCAGGTATGCCGACCTGGGAGGTAGTGCATGCCATAGTGCAGTTCTCAGAGCCTCTGCTGTGTCCCCAGGTCAGTTCCTCATGTGCGCAGCTCAGTGGTGAGCTCGGGACCGAACACAGGGACGAGAAGACCGCTCTCCAGGTCTTCCAGGGGATTCTTTTCCTGGTCCTCCAGCTAGAACACTGGGGTTGTAGCCTCCCTGCGCTAGCTGCACTTCCCACCAGGGCATCGGATTCCAGGACAAAGTGGTGAGAGAAAAGGGAGAGAGAAAAGTAGCAAGGATTCTCTTCATGCTCTTTACGTCAGTCTCTTTCCTAGTTCTCTGGAAGAGAGAACTTTGTCTAAGATTAGGTGCTTGCTTGGTGGCCACCAACTGCAGGTGGGCAGGATCAGAACTGGGGCTGGCCTTGAGGGAGGGCTGAGACAGAAGAATAAAAACCAAGTATGTGTGTGTGCACCCCCCCCACACACACACACACACACTCTCCATCTTCATTCCTGGTTCTCTAGCCAGAAAGAACTTCTCTGGAAGCTTTTTCTGTCTGTACCTGCTGTACAGTGACGGGATTTGGACTGTCCTCGCATGTAGGCTGGGATAGATGGGAGGAAAAATAGAAACCAGGAAACTCACTGCTCGTTTTTCAGTTTTGACTTCTCTCTGCAATCCGCTGGCTCCATTTGTTTTTCAGTTTTTGTGTATTGCTTTATGTATTCTGTTCAGGGTTTTGGTTGTAATCAGTGGAGAAGATACGTAGAGTGTGCTTTCTCCATCTTAGCTGGAGCTGGAGGACACCCCCCCCCCCATAAAATATGAATAATGACCTGTAATGGTGGTTCTCATCCTGAGCAGCACATTAGAAACATCAGGGGAGTTTTTGCAAGAACTAATGCCCAGATCAATTAAATCAGTCTTTGAGAGTTGGGATCCAAGCATCTGTATTTAAAAGTTGTCTAGGTCTTGCCTTGCTGGCATGGCTCAGCGATTGAGCATCCACCTATGATCCAGGAGACCGAGGTTCGATTCCCTGTCAGGGCGTATGCCCAGGGTTGCAGGCTCGATCTCTAGTAGGGGGCGTGCAGGGCAGCTGATCAATGACTCTCATCATTGATGTTTCTCTTTCTCTCTCCCCCTCTCCCTTCCTCTCAGAAATCAATAAAGAAATTTTAAAAATAAAAAGTAAAAGTTGTCTAGGTCCTTGTTGTTCAAGGTGTGGTTGGCTTGAAGGACCAGTGGTGTCTGGGCTTCCCCTGGGAGCCTGTTAGAAGTGCAGACTCTTGGGCTCCACCCTAGGCCTGCTGAATCAGCCAAGATCTTAGATGGTTCCTGTGTACGGCAAAGTCAGGGCAGCACTGCCCCAGAACCACTTCAGTTGTAGCCAGGGGTGAGAACTACTGTCTTAGAGGGCTTTGTAAAAGCATATGGCATGCATGTGAAATAAATTTCAATCTTCATGTGCTCTGTGAGTGTAAACTGTCACTCACAGTCAGATGCAGGCTGAGCTAATGCTCTCCCAGTTTTCTAGGTCCCCAGTGAAGTAAGTTCCCCTTGATTAGAAACAGAGGTTCACCTCTGGCTTCAAATAAAAATTCTTGTCCTCAAAGCCAGTTGCTTTGTGGCTTGTGACTTGGATTCACACCACATAAAATCCTCAACAAACTTTCATTTCTTTGTTCGGAACACAGCCTTAAGACGGTGGGCCTATAGTGAACGAGGCCATGGGTATTCCCACTCTCCTAGGCAGGCATGTTTCTTGCCATCACCCTCTTTAAAAATCTTTATCATGGACTTCGGGGTTGAGGCATCGGTTTGATCCTAGTTTTATTATTAGTAACTATGTGACTTGGGTAAGTTACTTAATTTCTCTGTGTCTCAGTTTCCTTGTCTGTAAAACAGGGATTATAATAGTAAGTACTTCATAGGGCTGTTATAAGGAACAAGTGAGTTAGTACTTGTGAAGTGTTTAGAGTTATGCCTGATATATAGTAAATGTTATATATGTGTGTGCGTTTAACAGTCAAAATTTCATTCCATTTCAGGAAAAGTTTACACATTGTTTTTAGAAAGGACACTTGCTGCACTTGGACACATTTGGTCAAAACTCCCTCAAACAACCCCAAACCCAGTGCAATCTGGTTGTCCATCTCTCAGACCATTTTCATATAATAAAGAGTAACGTGGCCGAGACAACAAGGACAGGAGGCTTGTCGGACCCGAATCAGCTCAGCCTTCAGCGAGCCCAGTTAGTTTAGTTTCCTTGTTTGGTCACATGTAACATGGTCATATCACATCACCCTCCATGGTGTTTCTCATTACTCCAGTTGCTCTTCTGTAGGAGCCGTAGGAAATTTCTGGGAAAGGTCTTAATGTAGTTGGCTAGTTAGTGCTAGAACTGGGCTACAATAAGACTGCACTGTCACTGAGAGTCCTGCCAGAAAATAATCTTCAAAAGTGACAAGTACCAACCAAGTCCCTAACACTGGATTTCTCTTTTTCTTTACTGAATGTTATATGAGATTTGGATGAACATGAATGCATGCTAATGTACATCTTTTTCACAGGTGTTAGTAAGATGGCCTTTAGTCACTTAATTGAGTTCACATACACAGCAAAATTAATGATCCAAGGAGAAGAAGAAGCCAACGATGTGTGGAAAGCAGCAGAGTTTCTACAGATGCTGGAAGCCATCAAAGCTCTAGAAGTCAGGTAATTACTACTTTAATGAGGTGCAGTCGGTCACATTTACTGTGCTGTCAAGAGATGACTATGTGTGTCACACCATAAAGAACTGATATTGTTTCCAAGTTAAGAATATTTAAGGGTTTATAAAATTCTTCTGGATACTAATTGTTCTTTCCCTGACACTTGATTTCCTGTCCTTATGGAAAAATTGCTGAGGTTAACTCAAGTAGCATCATTTGTATCTAATAAGGACTCAGCAGCTTTTAAGGAGTTCTCTGTAAACTGTTCTGTTGCATTAAAGTTGTTGATTATTTGTACCAAGTCTTATTCTAAAGAGGGTTTGGCTTGCAAAAATTAACCTAGTACTCTTTAAAAGTGAGAATATTAGTGGAAATGAAATAGGCCAGGTAGGGCCCATAATCAGGGAAGTTAGAATCAGGTGGCCCGAACGTGTGCCATTGAAGTGCGTACTTGCTGGCTGGACCGAATCTGGCTTTGAGTTTGGAAGCACCTAGTGCAGAGAAAGAGGACAACACTCAGTCTCGTTATTCATGGTTATAATATGAGACCAAATTAATTGCTCAGGAGCCATTTCTGGTATTAAAACACATCATCTCATAGGAAGTGTTAAGAAAACATTCGCTGATGCTGTGAATAAAGACTTCACCATCTTTCACGTTGAATGGTGGCTTTGTATCATAGTGACTCAGAGCAGGCTCTCCAAGTAGTATCCCAGCTGTGCCACCATGTGTGTGACTTTAAGGAAGTTCGGTTTCCTCTGTCGAATGGGGATGGTAATGGTACTTTGTGCATAGGATTATTTGTGAGAGTTAAGTGAATTGATGCATGTAAGGTGCTTAGCATGTAATACCCTGAGATGTAAATTGCTGTTATCTCCTTGCCCTGTTCCTTATTATGATCCTCAGCGTAGGTTACTGGAGTAGCATTAAAGGGCAGCTTGGTAAAATTAGTTTTACCTGGGCAAAATAATTTAGTCCAGCTCACTGGTGTGGTTTCGTCAAAAGTTATAATTTAGACTAACTCTAAAAAATGGTCATTCATAAATATAATTTCTCCTAATAAGCTTTTAATTAGTTTGATGACATTTTAAGGTTAAACTTTTCTGACAAGAGGGTAGTGGATATATATTCTCTGATGCCTAGGGCCTGGCACATAGGTATGTAGTAGATGTTTGTGAATGATTGGGTGGGTGCATACTGATTAAAACAGATCAGTACTCCTGTGGAGAGAACTGAGACATCAGTTGCCAAATAGAGGTGAGATGAGGACATATACCTGATTAGGTCATATCTTCTCAAAGTGGAGGTAGACTAGGGGTATATATATGGATGGGGCAATACCAAATTTGTGGTAAAATCCTAGACGAGAATCTTCATTAAAAAAAGGTAGTGTTCTATCTGTGTGGTCCCTTTGCTATATGTGATAACGAGTAGTAGTAGCTCACTATAGGGAAAGTCCTTGGCAGCAGGACAGTGGAGCAATGTATTCTGGGTTGGATTTGGGAGGCCTTTAACTGAGTTTTTGTATATTCATGGGAGATGAAGGTAAGAACAAGTGGGTACAGTTTTTTCCTAGTCTTATTTAGAACCTTTTGGAGGACTTATAAGACTGGGGTCCCTATATAACTATAATCAGTGCTTTTCAGTATAAATACAGTAATATGGGGAATTGTTTCTTGAACCACTTAGGCATGCAGTACACTCTGAAGAGCTTTCTGAAAATAGGAAGACCACAGTATTACATACTGGTTGTTTATAATAATAAAATTTAAGAATAAAAATGAGTTGTTAAATTAGCTGGTTAAGGCAGCTCTTTATTGAGAAGATTATTGTATAACTTTTTCAGACACTGAAGGTAAATGAGGTACTTTTTTCGCATTTGCATTATGCAAGCATTTTTAGAATATAAAGTAAACTTTCTGAATGACACTGAAGAAATAGTAGGATCTTATGTCGCTTTGCTGGAATTGCATCATTGTTTATCTGAATGAGAAGGTCCCTGTTATTTGGTAGGAAGCAGCAGTTGCCTTACAGATTTTTCCTCCCCAGTCTTTTGAGGTATAATTTATATATAATATAATTCACACACTTCTAGGGTAGAGTTTGAATTTTGTTGATTGTGTACAGTGGTGTAACCACCACCACAATTGAGACATAGGAATATTTCCATCACCCTCAATTTTCTCACGACTGCAGTGGGTTTGATCCCCAGCCCCAGGCAGCCACCGATCTGATTTTAGCACTAGTTTAATCTTGGTTAGAATATACTGTAAATGGACTTTTACATTGTGTGGTCTTTCATGTTTGACTTTTAACTTAGCATATGTTTTAGAGAGTTTCCATGCTGTGGGTATCACTATTTTGTTCCATTTCGTTGCTCAGTACTGTTCCAATGGTATCGATAATACCACCTGTTGAAGGACATTTAGGTTGTTTCCAGTTTTTAGCTTTGACAAATGAAGTGGCTGCGAACATTTGTGTACATTCTTTGGCCAGGTGCTTTCGTTTCTCTTAGGAAAGGCCTAGGAGTGAGATATCTAGGTTGTGTGGTAGATGTGTTTAATTTCTTTTTAAACACCAAACTGTCTTCCAAAGTGGTATGCCATTTTCCATCCCAGCCTGCAGTGTGTATGTTTCCGTTGCTTCACAGCTCTGCTAACACTTGGTATGTGAAGCTTTTGCACTGTAGCTGTCCTCATAGGTATATGGTGGTTATAATTTGCATTTCCCTAATCACTAATGATGTTGAGCATTTTTTATGTGCTTCTTTGCCATCCGTTTATCTTTTGGTGAGATGTCCACATCTTTTGTCCATTTCTAAAATTGGGTTATTGTCGAGAACTGTGAAGGGTCTGAGATTTTATCCTTTTTGCAGGCTAAGTTTTATGGATGTTGGCAGAAGACATGAGCTTCCCAAGTCACAGAGAAAGGACTTTATTTCTCTCGCAGCATAAACTTCATGTTTGTATCAGTTTTTCTTGCCCCGTCCCCCCTGTCAAGTTCTGCAGGGGTGGCACAGTGACTTAGGTGTGTGGTAGACTCACAGTGGTTTGTGTCACAGTTGAGAACTCTGAGCTTTAGGAAACCCAAATCTTTTATAGTGAACCTTCGCCGCAGAGGGCCCATTATCTTCAGTCCACAGGCCAGTAAGCGAGCCTGCTCTCTACTCTGGGAGAAGATGGGCTCTATCTTCTAAGGCTGCTTGCTGTACAACCTTGAAAAGATCGTCCAGAACAAAGGCTGCCCGTGTCTTTGTTTACAGGACATGAGAAGCGTAAAGGATCCGCAGAGAGTTGTCTGCCAACAGTGTCTTTGTTTGTACATTATTTTAGCTTCTGGAGAGTTTTCCCATGAGTGTACCACTCCGTGACCACTCTTTGATTAACCAGTAGGAACTGGGACCTAATCCATTCAACTCTTCTCACACTGGACTTCATTAAGACAAGTATCCACAGAACTCCAGGCAGCAGGATGTGGCCACCCTGCAGTGGTGAGCTTAACCATGTGTCCATTCTTCTAAGATCCTGGACTCAGCCAACTGAATGGTCCCTAGAAAGCCAGGTGGCTATCTCCTTTAGTTTCCGGATTGACTTTTCAACTTATCCCTAAGCTCTAATCTAAGAATAGCAAGATGTTTTAGCAATTGCACCGTCTCCATATTGGCCCCGGGCTGGGGGGAGTTGAACGCAAGGCTGTCATCTGTAATAACTCTACCTGGTGATTTGAGCCTGACAGGATTGCCTTCCTGAGCCCAAGTAATGTCATTGATCACATCGACTTAAGCCAGGCACAAATGTCTGCTAGCTTTTTATATGGATGACCCCCATTGGAGGGAAAGTTACCCATGGCGCACGCATAAATAACAAATTGGTTATTACTCCAGAAAGCTCCCCCAAACAACCAGGGGTAACCTCATTTTGGGGAGATCTCCACAGTCATCTGAAAACTAACCTTATTTACCAGTGGTGTTTCCTTAAACACTGATGGTCTCTCCTACCCACTCGAGTTGTAAATCATCATAGTTTTGGGAGGGAAGGAACTTACCGGCTTCCACACAAGAAGTACAGTCCCAGGGCCACATGGGTGCTTCTGAAGGAGAGTGTTGTTCAGTATCGTTTGTGCCCCCAAAGTGGGACCGTCATCAGTCATGGGCACAGGTCAACATTACTTCCACTGTGGCCTCCCCTTTTCCTGGCTCAATCAGAATGACTGAGTCCAGTCCTTGACCTTGGAAGGATTGTCTGAAAGAAGTCAGTTCAGTGTGTCCTGTTTGTCATGAGCACCTGAATGTCAGCTGAGTGGCAGTCATCCACCTCACAAATGAACCTCAGCTTTGGGAATAGTAGTAGTGGGACAAACAAACATCTGGTGTTCTACACAGGACACGCAGGAGCTTGGCCACAGCCG